CGCTACTCATTTGAGCTGTAGTCTGAACTCCTAGTATCCTTCTCAAGAATCTCTAGAATAACCTCCTCAAAGAGTTTAGACTATAGCTCATTTGTTTTTGCGGGTGTAGGTTTGCAAGGTGACAGGACGAATAAGCTAGCGGAACCCCAGCTGGAGTGGATTGAGACTGATACTTGTAGAGAAACCGCTGCCAGTAAAAGCAGCTAGGGTAAAACAAGCAAGAACGAAAGGTGACGAGCAGAATTTCTCCTGGCAAGCGTGCTGCAAACGCGGCTATAACTAGTAGTTTTTATTTTCTTTTCCATTATCCCTATATAACCCCTATACAACCCCAGTACATGCCCGACTATAATATAGTATTCGAAAACTAGGGTCAGAATCCTGGAGAGCATCCAACTTCATTTCACTTGGACTTCGATCTACCGTTTTTTGATCACTATTGGACAAAGTCAAGCAGATATCACCAGGTCATCAGCAGTTTGGAACCGGAAACCGCATTGTCATTCCTATAATGATGCCAGCTTGAGCTCAACTCGTCGACCGAGTTGCCGCAGCGAAGAGCCGAAGCCAAAGTTCGCATGAATGGAATTAGTATTGTTAGTATCATTACTATTACCATTATTGTTATCATCGTTATTATGGTTTTTACGTGCACCACGACTCTTGGGACGCAACGTGGGGAAACCGGAGCCATTAGCGCGAAGATAAGTTTTGAATGACCCTCAAACCTGATTCTGAGAGGGCGGCAAATCTTAAGTAACCTTCACTCCGCCCCCTACCCAGACCCCCTAAAGGATCCAAAAAATGGAACCCCCTTCATAATCCCTTAGTTTCCCCAATGTAGTACTAGGTTCATTTGTGGGGGGTTCCATTTTTACGATCCTTTAGGGGGTCTGGGTAGATACCTAGCCCAAACTGCTGAATCCTCCGTTTGAAACGCTAAACCCCATAAACCCTACAAGCAACCCCTTTAAATACACTTATGAACCCGACAGCCTACAGGCCCGATAAACTCCACAACCCCTACAAACCTTGACCCTTAAAACCTCAAGTGAGTAGTACTTTATTTGGGGATACTATGGTACCCAATATAGATTAAGATCATTTCCTCCTTTCGGGGTATAGTATTTTATATAAGGAATATTATCTTACAGGTACTAGGTTCAACCACCAAAAAAGCACTACTGAAGTGGCAAACAGAACATCCGGGAGTTGGTTCAATCTTGATACAGGCCATGCCGCCCCCACCAGGGCTAGGCAAGCCCGGCTTTGCTGGCCCCTCACCGCAACGAAGAGATAGCAGCACTTGGAGGGCCTGGGGGGCTTGGTAAGTAGGTTAGTAACCCCTACATACCATATAGTAACCCTAGTTATCCTCTTGTTAACCTACTTACAAAGTCCCCTTGACCCCCTAAGTAGTGTTTCGTGATTTTCGGTTGCCTTTTCAAGGTTTAGTTTTTCCTTTTTCAGTGGTCTAGAATTTTTGTTCTTTCTTCTGTAGAGTGGTTCTGCAAGTCTACCAAAGCAGCACGTGATTTCATTCATGCCTCAGGTAGCAGATACTGTTGATAGAAACAACTTGCATGACCTTCTTATATTTTGATTTGATGCCATAGTTCAACATCGTAAGGTACATGGGGTCATTCAGGATTTTTAGTATCCGTTTTGGCAGATCTTGAGGGGATCAATTGGAGAGATGTCTTTGCTTTTGAGCTTTGGATTTGCGGCTCGTGGGAGAACACAGGCTCAGAAAGCAAATGTGACGGACCTGGCTGGACAATTTCCGTGGTGGGTATGCTTGAACTTTGCAAACCCAATAAAACAGCCCGCTGCATTTCCGTAAGGGAGTAGTTGCAGGCGCCGAGGCCGGAAGCGCAATGAACATCAAAACTCCAGCTATCATGCAGCACTGCTCGGAAACAGCCTGGCAAGAGCCCATAGAAGGAACCCTAACCCCTGATCCATCGTGTATTATCATAGGATCCCTGAAGGATCCCAAAAATGGCACCTCCCAATGGGTGCCCTTTTCCCAAACATCTTTATGGGCGCCTGTTCCGTGCATATTTTGTACATGTTCCTCAAGGGGTCTGGGCATGCAAAAGTTGTGTGGCTGTACTTAGCCGAGAGTTGGCTTTTGACTACTCCCTTGGGCTTCGGACCGTGAAGAACGTCCACAATGCTCCTGCTCCCAGAAAGGCAATCTGCTTGATGAGAAGTTGCAGCTCCATTTGACCAAGCAGTGTCATCCTTGCTCCCTGTCAAGGAAATAGCAGTGAGTTTGTCTTGGGATTTGCCGTGTGCTGGCTGGTGCAGGTACTATAACTGGGGTGTGCATGAGGATTGAACTTTTTATGTGGATCCCTTCCACCCCCTCAAGCGCCAGTGAGGCATTATGGGTGCTATTGTTATTACGACGTATAGGGCCAAAACTTAAACACGAAGCTTGAAGCTCCGCACAAACCCCACCCAAAACTCCAGCCGTGAATCCTGCCCCGCCAAGGGGTTGATAAAAAACTTTAAACCCCAGATCCTA